TTTTCTGACTCCTGAAGGAAAAAGAGTCATGGGGGGGCGTGTGTGTGTGTGTTTGTGTGTGTGTGTGCAAGACCAGAACTCAAACTTGGCACCTAATGCTTTCACTCATTGGCTAGTGTTCTACCAACTGAGCCATGCCTCCAGCCCCCATTTGATTTTTTGAGAAGTGGTAGTAGGGTTTGAACTCAGGGCTTTGCACTTTCTAAATGGGTTCTCTATTGCCTGAGCTATGCCTCTAGTCCTTTTGCTCTGGTTATGGTTGAACAAGGGTCTTGTTTTTCTCCAGTGGGCCTAGAATGCTGTTCTCCTATTTCTTCTTCACTGTAGCTGAGATAAAAGGCAAATGCCACTGCACCAAGCTTTCTCTGTTAAGATGAGTCTCACTTTTTTTTTTTTTCCGGCCTGGGGTAGCCTGGAACTTTGATTGTGTCAACCTCTGCTTTGGAGTAACTGATATTGTAGGTGTTCGGCGAGTCACGTGGTTTGATGTGTGGTCGATCTGATGTCCTTGGGTGGAAGCCCAGGCCAGTCAGGGGTCTCTCCCAGGAGTCTCTCCCAGTTCTAGACAGAACTGTGCAGGTGCCTGTACCCACCGGGCGCTGTGCAGGGAGATTTCTTCTCAGCTGCTTGGGGTCCAGTGTGTGGTCTACTGCAGACCCCACCTCCAGCCCTGATCCCTGGCCAGGCAGCTCAAGTCCTGCTGTGGCGGTGAAGGCTGCTGAATGGAAACCCTCATCAGTGTGGCCTGAAACTCAAGAGTCCAGACTCTACCCGGATCTGTGCCAAACCAGGGACCCAAGCTTGTACGTGTGACAGAATCAAAGAGTCACGCATCAACAACGTGCAGGTAATTACAGGTCTTCCCTCATCTCTCTCTCTCCCCTATGGGCCCAGCACATGGTCTATCTCCCCTGTGGGAGGAAGTAGTTGGCAGTAGATGTCTTCCACTTCCTCCTCCGTAGATACGGCAGGCATGTGGCTGGCATTTAGCCACATCAAGGAAGAGTGTGGTTTTGACTGTTGCACTTGCCTCTCATCTACCTCCCTGTCTCAGATCCTTCTGCGCTGGACCTGTCTTCCAAACTCCCCATGCTCTGCTGTGCAGCCCAGAGCCTAGCTAGGGTTCTCTGGTCCTCTTAGGCTCAGTACTGGCCAGCAGCAGGGCAGCCTCCACACCCTGGCCAGCGCTGTGAACCCAGTGAACCATGTGAACGCTTTCTGAAGGCTCCACAATGCAGACAATGTATGACTGTCTGCAGTGGGTGTCTGGCCCCGCAGCTCCCCCTCCACAGGTCAGGTCTTCCCTGGTGGTGTGATAAATACACAGTACATCGGATCTTCGTTCCAAGTTTCGGCCACAGAGCTCCCGAAAGCCTTGGGGCACCCCCAAATAACCAGAGTAGCTGCTGATATTTGCATCTAGTCCTTTCCTAACACCTGAAGTTTAGGAGGTGACTGGGGGTGGGGGGCGTCCCTTATTGAGATAGAAGTCAGCCACGCTTAGGGCTGGAACTTTGGGTCCCATCTTCAGGAGCTGAGCCGGAGGTGGGCAGACAGAGGCAGGCAGGTCTGCTCAAACACTCCAATGTGAATACACTTGCCCAGTCTTTCTATGGAGTCAGGAAATAACAAATGGAGTTGCTGCGTTTCTATCCCAGTGCAAGGGAGCCATGCCCTGGGCTCTTGGGTCTGGTCGGCATCTCTGCCATCACAGTGGTACAAACTCTCCCTAGACGGCTTCCTTGGGGCTGAGCACACAGTCAGGCCATAGGAGGATTTTGTTTCCAAGCTGGAGTCGACACTCGTCCATAATGATTTAAAAGGTAAAGCTCTCTTACTGTGCTTCATTTATGAGATATTTCTGCCACTGCCTCTGGGTTATGTACACAAATAAAATATGTAACAGGAGGCTGCCTTCCTTGTTTTCTTTCTTTCCTTCTGCCTAATTTCAACTCCCTGTCAAATTTCCTTACATCGATCCGCTCACCAGACTTACTGCCTGGGGCTCTCTCCCGGGAGTGCCGCTCTTCACACGGAGTCGCGGGAGGCAGAGCCCACGGGAGGGTTCTACCTTGCACCCCTCAACATCTCCGTGGCCCACTTGACCAGGGTGACTTCTCTGGGGCTTTTTGCTCCTTCCTGTCCACTAAGGTGGAGAAAGATGATCTCCCGGTTTACACGGCAGCTTCTCTGAGACGAGGAATTTCCAGAGGGCCTTGATCTGTGCAGACAGTGTGAGTTTCCATACTGCTTCTCTGGTCTGGTCCACCTGTGGCCAAGGCTGTGTCTAGTTGTGCCAGGTAAACACAGGGTGTGTGTGTGTGTGTGTGTGTGTGTGTGTGTGACAGAGAGAGAGAGAGAGAGAGAGAGACAGACAGACAAAGAGACAAAGGGAGGATTTCAGTAGTAGATAGTTGGGGGTTAACAACTGATAGGGAGTGAGCATCTCAAACTTCAGAGATACAGCACACGACAGAGCTATGAGAGCTATGTGTGCAAGCAGGGGGTGGAGCCAACCACCATGAGAACACAGAGGGCTGGGGCTGGGGGAACAGAAAAGGCAAAGCTCTGTGGGTGTGCTCAGCCACACACTGGCAGGTGAGTAGCTGCAACCAAGTGGGTTTGTTCAGGGAACTGGGTGGGGAGGAGGGTCAGCCTAATCATGGAGACACAAGGGAGGCCAGCTGTTCCAGGAAAAGGTAAGATGAGAAGCACCAAGTCCACAGCATATAGCATGACATCCTGGCTATTGGTGCTCTACCGTCCTCCGGGACCCTGGCTGGTGTCTCATTTTTCTCCCTGTGTATCTGTCTTGAGAAGTCTATGCCTACAGATCTTCATGTAGACCTCCCTGGAGCTCAGGATGAAGCAGAAATTCTTAGTGAAAAACCGTAGATGCTCAGAGCTCTGTTCCAGCATACCCCCCTTGCTGCCTCTGAGGGCTCTTGCTGTGGTTCTTGCTGGGTGCTACCTGGAGGTCCTGACTTAGCTGGCATCCGCAAGACCTGAATGTGATGTTTGCTGTGGTGTTTAAAGTTCCTAGGTGTGTGTGTGTGTATGTGTGTGTGTGTGTGTGTGCGTGTGTGTGTGTGTGTGTGTGTGTGCTGGTCCTGGAGATTGAACTCAGAGCCAGGGCACTGTCCTTTAGCTTTTTCACTCAAGGCTGAGGCTCTACCACTTGCGCCATACCTTCATTTCCAGCTTTTTGCTGGTAAATTCAAGATAAGAGTCTCACAGACTTTTCTGCCTTAGCTGGTTTCAAACTGCAGTCCCCAGATCTCAGCCTTTTGAGTAAGCCACTTGCTTATGTGCAGATTTGACCAAGTGAAGTGAAAAATGAATCTGAATAAGAAAATCCAAGCCATTTCAAAAAGAGCACCTTACATTCCTGCGCATACACGATGCAGCTCAGTGGATGTGGAGAAGCTCCCGCATTACCCACAGTCCTAATCACCCAGTGCGGACCCGCAGCCTTTCCCTGGAGGGGAACGGTGCCCTCCAGTGAATGGACTTGAGCGAGGGGGTGGAGACTGACAGTGTTGGAAGGTGGTATGCTTTTGTCGGAAGCTGCATGGCATTGTGGGAAAGTAAGCCAAGCATCCTCTGTGGAACTGAACAAACACTACGCCTCCTGAGCGTGTGCAGTTTTTCCTCAGTCACCATCTTGGATGCCCAGGCTTTACTGTTTTAGTTCAGGTTGAAAACCACTGTGCAGCCCAAAAGTTCTTGCAGTTTTTAACAAAATACCTAGCCTGGGGTTCCAGCCCCAGGTTGACTTTCAATTAAGAACTTTTATTTTTTTCAATAATGAGATTTCAACTCAGGGCCTTGAGCTTGCTAGGCAGATGCTCTACTGTGGATCTGTACCTTCAACCCTTTTTGTACTGGTTATTTATGAGATAGGGTGTTACTTTCGGCTAGGAGTGTGCTTGGACTGTTTCCCTCCTATTTTACATCTCCTCCCGTGTTCCCATTACAGCTGGGATGACAGGCGCACACCACCAAGCCTGCTGCGCTTCGGTGACAGTGGGAGAGAGCTACGCAGTTAGTGTGAAAGGAATAAAATAGCCTCGTTGTGTGTGTTATACCTCGAATGTTCAATCTGGACGAGAATGCACCCTCGGATGCTAAGGAAGAACTGGGGAGCTGTCTTCATGATTTCACCTCTCACCTGTGCCTTGGATTATTTAAAAAACCTGACAGCTTGGTTCTGTGTTATATTCACACAGTATCGTCTGTGCACCAGAACAGGGCCTGGAACACAGTTAATGCTCAGTAGGTGTTCACTGCCCACACCTCGGATACACAGATGCCTGCAACAAGTGCTCAGGTGCTCCTGCGCCTGCTCCTTGCTGCCCCTCCTCCTCCCTCCAACCTCTCAGCAGGAAGTGGGCATGTGTGTGTGTGTATGTGCGTGTGTGTGTGTGTGTGCACGCGTGCTCAAGGCAGTTCTCACTGTATGGCCCACTCTGACATCCTGTTACCACACCGAGGTCTCTGAGGGGGACACACATTGCCATTCATTCGTCACCAGTGGCCTAGAAGCTGGGCCATGGTGACCCATGGAAATCAGCAATGCAAACAGAGAGACCCAAGTTCAGTTCCACCCCTTTCCATAGGAACTTTGTTTTCCACCCCCACAATAATCAAGCCAAAAGAGCCATGGACGGAGAGAGTGCATCCATTATTCCCCGATGCCCGCATCACCCTATCTTCCGCATTACCCTGTGCCTCGCGGTGGCACAGACCGTACCTTGACTATCTTTGATCGTCCATCCCAGACCCATCCTCATGGGGCTCACAGCTCACTGGCGCTGTCACGGTGTTACACGTGACCCGCTTGTCTTTGGGTGAGCACCCTCCTCGTGCTTTCGAGGATGCCTAAGTAAGGGGCAGCAGGGACACGCAGGGCTCTGCTTCTGTCTGCTCCCATCTTACCGGGGAGCTCCCCCACCCCGTGAGGGGCTCCGGGTGAGGCACAGCGCAGGAAGGCCCCTTACCTGGTCCACTGCAGAATGAGGCGATGGCGGCCAGGATGCACACGATGCTCAGGTAAGGGACCCAGGGGGCGCGGTCCTGTGGGGAAGAGCCATGTGGGCAGGGGCGGGGCTGCCGTTAGGAAGGGGATGTCCCCACCAGCCCTCTGATCCCTAGGGAGATGTTTCCATTCTCTGCTGCTCAGTGACTTCCTGCTTGTGGCAAGCCACTGTCACACACCACCGTGCTAATCCCCCATGCCACACACACCACCGTGCTACACCCACTTCTAGAAATGTCTGGACAGTAAGACCAGAAGATGAGCACCCTGCCCAGTTTTTAATTCCATCATTCATTTTTGAAAACGATTGCTGTGAGCTTGGGGTGAATGCTCATTCAAAACACTTAGTAAGTGTTCAATTAATGCCCCTTGCAGGGGCAGAAAGAAAAGAGGTGGCATATGAAATCTGGTCTTAGGGTCCAGTCCCAGCTCTGCCACTGCTGAGTTCTGTAACCTTGGCCATGCTACTCACGGTAACTATGCACTGGATTCCTCATTTCTAGTGAGGGAGGAAAGCAGAATATTGTAAGGATGAAGCATTTCGGCATCACTTCCCCTAACCAGCAGACACTCCCTGAGCACCCGTTCCAAGTGCATTTCTCATGGAATCCTCAGAGCATTTGTGTGTGTGTGTGTGTGTGTGTGTGTGTGTGTGTGTGTGTAGGCACAAGAGGAGCTGACACAGTGAGTGGCTTGCCAGCCTAAGGAGCTCCAAACGCCAGCCGCAGAGCTCCTGCTGCAGCCAGAGATCATGGTGAGCCGGGAAGGGGACAGCAGGCACCGTCTGGCACCCTCTGCTGGAGGGTGAGGGAGCTACAAGAGACCCCTTCGGGGCCACCGTGTGCAATCTCGTCCACCCCACAGACTGGCAAGCTGAGGCACACAGAGGCGACCCATCTTGCTTCAAATCACACAGCTCCTCAGTGGCCGTGACAGGACAGAGGTCAGAGCTCTGGTCTCCCCACGCGAGGATCCACCCACAAGGCCACCGGCCTGGGCTGGAGCCCCTCCCTGAAGGCATGGCAGGGCCTCACCTGCAGAGTCAGCGCGGCGGTGAGGATCCCGAAGAAGAGTGCCATCAGCCCGAAGCCACCGATGAGCAGCACCCTCCTTCCCAGGCGCTCAATGACCAAGCCCTAAGCCACGGGGAAAGAGCACAGGACGGTGCGTGATCAGTCCGCTGTGGGCAGCAAGCAGAGGGACCTGGCCGAGGGTCAGGGGTCAGGGTTGTCTGACACTGTGACAGCCCAGTCACTGGCCACTTTCTCCCAGACACACGCAGAGAATCATTCTGAGAAAGATCATGCTGAGAAAGAAGAAGGGGAGGCAGAGAGACTCCATCTAGAGTTGCTGCTGGGGCCCCTCTCTTCTTCCTCTCCAGGACGAAGTAGACCTGGAAGAAGGACCTGGCCACCCCAGCCCTTTTGCCGCCTTCCAAGCCAGCTTGCTTACAGGCAACTGCCCTGAGCTTCTCTGCCTTAGCTTTTGTGGGGACAGATGCCCGGGGCTGGGCATGTGGGGCATCTGGGCATGTGGAGGGAGTTGTGGAGAAGGTTCTCAGCTTCTCCATGCTGCCCACATCTGGACGGTCAGTTCCTGCTGGGTATGTGATACAGGGAGGCCAGGAGCAAGGATGGCACCCATCAAAAGCCAGAAAAACAACGCTAACTTCTCAGAGGACTAAGGAAGCCGGCAGATTCTCTCCCCCTCCCAGCAGTGGCTGGGAAGTTCCCAAACTCTTGCCCTCTGTCATCCTGGTTATTTATGCTAAGGTTAGAGCTGGTCGAAAATGCCTGGCCAAAGGTCATAACTGCTGTATTATTTACAGTGACAAGGATGTAAAAAGAAAAATAAATCCACCAAGACCTGAATGGATAAAATATATACTGGAATGTCTAGATGCTAAATATATAGGAATTAACATACTTGCATAGAATTGTGAGATATATATATGTATATATCATGTGAAATACAATTATGTTAAACTAATAGACCCTTTACAGATATATACAGGAAGCATTTGTAATGGTTAACTTTGTGAAGACATATGCAAGTATTATTTCACTTGCTGGTGTTTTAGTTTTATAAGTTGAGCTTTTTTTTTTTTTCACTTACAAGAAGGGGGAAGACAAAAAAATACCAGAATTAGTTTATGGGGATGCAAATTCCTGTCCCTGAGTTACAGTCTTCATTCTTTTACCATCCCCAATGCCACCAAGCAAACCTTCATAACCATGTAAAAATATTTTTACTGCAATGCAAGGATGATGTAGTCATTCTTGAGGCTCCTAGGGCAGGGTCCAAATAACTGGACGACTGGGAACTTTGTGCCAAAGTGTGTTAGAGGACGTGCGCGTGCCCCTAGTGACCTGAAGCTGACATGAAATCCTTCTCCCCCATCAAACTCCCACTGCTGTTACTGGAATACCACGGTGCGTTACACTGTAACCGCCTCGACCCCAGGGACATGCTACACTGAGACTAATTCACATTGCAGCAGTGGGATGGAAACATTACATAGTCACCCTGCAGTGGATGCAACACACGTGCTGCATTGTTACTCTTAGGTAACACTGTAACTGAAATGAGCAGGGTTTGAAGGTTTCTCCAGCTGGGGGTAAAGCTCCTGGCAGAGCACTTGTGTAGTCTGTGTGATGGAGTGGGGGGGGGGTGTGGTTTTCAAGTGAGCCTTCCCCAGTCTCAGTATTTGTGAATGTACCCCGCACATGGAGCAGTTGAAAGCCATTATTTTCTGAGCATGCCCACATCCAGGGCCTGTGTGGGGGGAGGGGCTTGCGTCATTTTACTGATGTCACCTGAGCAAAGTGCAGAGAATGTGTCCTCCCTGACAGGGAAACAGCTTCAGGGGTGCCGGGAGCCTTCCACGGGAGGATCTGGACTCAAGATGAACGGTGCTTTGGAAGTTACTGAAGCCAGCTGGGTGGGGTGGGGGGGTGTCGTCCGAGTCCCTGTGCTCCCAAGAGAGCCCTCTGGGACTCCTGAGTCCAGCGGCCTGCACCCCGCCTGGAGTGCTGGGAAGCTGGTGCCAGCCCTCTCTGGTCCGCCTGGTCTGGGCAGTGAAACACCAGCAGTCACATTGTGTTTTCTTGCGTGTGTCTGAGTTCAATCTCCCCTTCTTGTAAGGACAGTCATACTGGATTAGGGGTCCCATCAACTCCAGTATAACTCCATCTTGGCTGAAATAATGACATCAGCAATGACTCCATTTGCACATCAGGTCTGATTCTAAGGTGCTGAGGATTTGAAAGTATTAATTTTCAAGAATCACAATCCAACCTATAATAGTATTTATACGTATCTATTCTAAGCATGATGCATTGTGGCATGATCTTTGCAAAGCCATTTGAGATAGATCTGTGATCATCTCCACTTTCTTTAAGAGAAAAATGGCTATCAGCGAGGCTGACAGACTGGCACAAGGTCACCGAGCTAGTCCATGAAGGTCAGGAGGGCACAGAACCCAAACACTCTCCTGTCCGCTTGGTCACCTCCAGCCATTTTCTTCTTTAAAAAAAAAAAAAAGAAAAAGGGCTGGGGCTGGGAAGGTGGCTCAGGTAGAGCGCTTGACTTGCGCGCATGAGGCCCTGGGCTCGATTACTCAGTACCACATAAGTGGAAAAAGCCAGAAGTGGCACTGTGGCTCAAGTGGTAGAACGCTCACCTTGAGCTGAAGAGCTGAGGGACAGCGCCCAGGCCCAGAGTTCAAACCCCACGATGGACAAAAAAAGGGGGGGGGGCTAGATCTGTAGCTCTCACCTGTGATTCTAGCTACTCAGGAGGCTGAGATGGGAGGATCTCAGTTCAAGGCCAGCTTGGGTACAAAAGTCCACGAGACTCTTATCTCCAACGAATTAGCAAAAAGTCAGAAGTGGAGGTGTGGCTCAAGTGGTAGAGCACTTACCTTGAGCCAAAAGGTGAAGCAGAGTGCTCTGGCCTTGAGTTCAAGTCTCAGTAATGGGGCACGCACGCGCGTGCGCGCACACGCGCGCGCACACACACACACACACACACACACACACACACAGGATCCTGAATCCACTAAGGCAATCATAGGAAACATGCAGGTGACAGTCACAGCTCCCAGGACTTAGGCTGTGAACATCTTTAGGGGTCATTATTTCTTGTCAGTTGCAGACGGGGCCATGAGAATGCCCATTTTACAGATGAGCAAATAAACTTAGAGCTGTTGGCCTGACCACCTATCAGCATGAGAGCAAAGACGTGACTATCCCATGCAAGGGGAAACTGAGGCAAAGAGAGTATCAGTATCACACAGCTGCGGGGTTCCTGAGAGCCAGGGTTCGAATCCAACTGGGTCTAATTCCAGTCTTGGAAAGGAGTTGTTAATGCAGAAGGGAAACCCAGTGGGTGGATGACGTTGTCACCGTGAGTGACATCACGTGCAGTGGATGGGGAAGCTGCGCTGTGTGCTGTCTGAGTCCTCACAGGGCTGCCCCGGCCCGCCGCGCCCCCCTCCTCCCCTCCCCGGGGCCTTCAGACCCCCAGTGACTCACCGAGAAGATGGAGGCCAGCGTCTCGATACCGCCGGTGCTCAGGGTGATGTACGGGATCTTCTCCTGAGCGATCCCAGCATTCCCAAAGATGCTGTTGGTGTAGAACCAGATCTGCAGTGTGGGAAAGAGCAGGAGGGAAGTCAGCGAGAGGCCTTTGTCTATCTAATTCAGTGCTAGAGCCACGCGGTACCCTTCCCCGGGAGCAGTCCTCACACGTTCCTGTGCCCAGCTGATCTCCCTCACCATGAAGTGTGGCCATGAGATACGGAACTATTGCTTGGCTGCCAGGAATCCTCTTTATTATTATAATTTTTTTTAAAACAGAGCTTTTCACCACCCTTTTGATTGTTCTCTTGCCCTTCCTCTTCCTTTCTGCTGGATGGTAGGTGTGTTGGCTGGAGCATTAGGTGACGTTGGGTCAGGACAGCTTTGTGAGAATTAGACTGGGTCCCTGTCCCACCATTTATCTCCCACTAGAAAACCGTCTTTATAAACCTATCAGGTGGATGTGTGGTGACATTCCCAAGATTGTGCAGCGCGTAGTCTGCCTACCTAGGCCTAGAGCCCCTGGCTTTGGGATGGAAGTGACCTAATCAGTGCTGGAGCAGGCAGTGGGGAAGTTACCCTCTCCTCCCCCGATTGGAACAATTGTGTAGTTGATTATCCAGACTTGGGTACATCTGGGAGAAGTAATAAAGACCTCAGCTCCACGAGGCATTCGATGAGGCCACAGCAGCTCCTCCCCCCTTCTGAGACAGCAAGCCTGCCCTCCTGTGTAGGTGGCTGTGGGGGTGTCACGTGACGCCAGACCTCCTCCTCCCTGAGGGGAACATGGGCTGCTGGGTAAGAACTTGGAGACGTGGTTCTTTCTTCCAGTAGCTGTGTGGCCGCAGACAACCCATTCCTCTCCCCAGGTTCAAACAAAACCGCAGAGCCGTCTTGCCTGTCCTGTGTTATGCCTGTAACTAAGTGAGGTGGTCACGATTCTGTGCCCGCTTTGAGTCAGGGTCAACAGGTGGGATTTGCAGACTTGCGTTTGCCGCAGGGCGGGCAGGGAGCTGCCCGGCTGGCATAGGTGATTACGGATGAGGAGGCCTGGCCCGGACCCCGGGGCATGCCGACAGTCTGGCAGTTACTCAGCCGAGCCCGCACTGTCAGAGCTTGCTGTTCCAACCTGTCAGGCGCAGGGGCGGCTGGCTGGCGCGGACGTCGGCTTTGCTTCTGGAGGGAACGCTTGTTCCTACGATGTTCTTCTTGTGACCAGCACGATTATTCATGATGTATGAGGAGGGAGGAGATTTAGCACCTAGTTAGCACCTCCCTGACTGGTTAGGTTTTAAGTGACAGAGGTTTCAGGCACACTTAGAAATGGAGCACCAACTGCTGCAGGGAGTTCCTGGTGGGCATCCATGCGTCTATTAATGGGCATGGGTTAAACAGGCGAGACAGGCACCAATCCTGCGGTGCCAGCCTCTCATTTGGGTCAGCTCATCTTAGCCTCTGTCTTTGGTGTGATCTGAGGCTGTGATGTCTCGAGTCCAGAGTCCAGAGTCCTGAGGACAGTGGTAGCACTATGAGCAAAGCTGACTTCATTCCAGAATGCCTCCATGTTCTGGAAGCTAGAATGCCTCCGTGTTCTGGAATGAGACACTGGATCTTCCAAAGAGAAGTCTCATGATTGGATTCTGGGATTCCAGAAGTTGAAGAGTCTTTGTGGTGGGCTGGGAAGGTGGCTCAGTGGTACAGTGCTTGCTTAGCATGCTTGAAGCCCTGGTTTCGATTCCTCAGTCTCACACACACAGAAAAAGCAGGAATAGCCCTGTGGCTCAAATGGTACAGTGCTAGCCTGGAGCAAAAGAAGCTCAGGGACAGTGCCCAGGCCCCGAGTTCAAGCCCTGGGACTGGCAAGAAAGAAAAAAAAAGAGTCCTTGTGTGTGGTCCATATGCCGTGGCAAATATATGTATATGGTTTTGCTGATGCTGCAGCCGGCTACCTGGCGCCAGGCGGTGGGATGGGGATGGCCGGGCAGAGAACAGCCAACCCGAAGCTGAGACCAGCCAAGCTGAGCATGCACCGCTGCTGACTGCGGGGTGTGTGTGTGTGTGTGTGTGGTGAGGTGGGTTTTCCCAGCAGAGTCTGCGCCTCTGTGGCTGCAGCCCCGCCCAGGAGGAGCTTACCCGGCTACGTGGGTCTGGGTATGCGCGGGTCTGGGTATGGGGCCAGGGCTCCCAGAGCTCTGTGTGGAGGAGTCCCAGCTCTGTCTAAATGTCTTGCAAAATGCAGAATGTCCTTTGAGATGCCAAGTGTGAGCTTCCAGAAATGGCAGCTTCTCTCTCCCGTCCCAGAGCGTGGGAAACGGTCTGGCTCCTTCCCTCCCCCGGCCCTGTCTGGAGGAGAAAACAGCAGGACGTGGCCCTGGCATTCTGTATTCTGCTGACTTCACCCGGCCAAGAGAAAGCAGAACACGGAGTCCTACGGCCTCATGTCACCATGGCATTTTGGAGAAGAGAAAGTGGTGGTGTTGAACTAAAGCAGAGCGCACCTGCGTGCAACTCTCAGAGGACCCCCTTCCTTGTCACTGTCCCTCCCCTTCCCTCCACACCCCCAAACACACCCTGCTGGCCTGGGTGGGCACGGGCTCCTGCTCATCCCACAGAATCACAGAGCTGTGCCACCCCGGCTGTGAAGGCCACTGATGGCTGCCCATCTGCCCTCCTCTGGGCTCAGCCATGCTCCCACGGAGCTGATACTTTGCCTGTGTGTTTGTGTGTGTGTGTGTGTGCACATGCGTGTGTGTGTGTGTGTGCATGTGTGTGTGCATGTGTGTGTAAGGGTCCCCTCCAGGCTCCATCTTGGCGAGTGGCCGGCCTGATGTGTGTACCCCATCTTGGATGAGTGACTCAGACCCCAGGGGAATCCCAGAAGCAGCGACGATGACAAGCACTGCACTCCTGGCCCGGGAGATTGTGCCTTCTGGGCACAGAGGGTCTGGAGCCTGACGGTGAGACGTGCACCCAGATCCCAAGACACTATGGAACCCGTGCTTGACTCGAGCCCAAGTCGCAACAAGTTGAAGCCAGAGCTCAGCCCAAAGGACTTGTCTGCGCAGGGGCCACTGCTGGGCCCGGCCTCCGCGGAGGTGGGCAGAGCAGCGGCCGAGCGCAAGCCCCCAGCCGCCCATCACTCACCGCGTTGAGGCCACAGAGCTGGTAGCAGGCCATGGTGACGCCCACCGTGATGATCTGCCAGCGGACGGCGGGGGCCCGCAGCAGCTCCAGGACCGGCACCAGGCGGAGGTTCCTCTGCACACGGCTCTCGGCCAGGGCCTCGTCCACCTCCCGAGACACATCTGCCTTCCCCAGGAACGTCTGGAACGCTGTGGAGAGACGCAGAGCGCACAGGCTGGAGCGCCACACACGCTGCCCCGAGGGGACGGGCTCCACCCTCCACGCAGAGGCCCAGAGAGACGCACCGCAGGGCGAGAAGCCATCCCTGGATTACCCCATGGGAAGGAATGTGGATCGGGGTTCAACTCCATGCGTGGGGGACAGGGACGGGGTGGGATGGGTGGCCGTGTCCTGCGTGTCTCCTGTAATGGTTCCAGATTCTATGGCTGCTGAGGTCATCGGGAGGCGGGCTAACTTGGTGACATTGAGGCATGGGACCCAAGAGCCAGGGGCCAAGAGAATGAGAGCTAAGAACAAGAGAATTCAAGGACGGCTGCGATGAGCGCTAGGGTGAAAAGAAACATTAGATTCAGGAGGGGGGGAGTGGGAGGGAGGGAGACAGAGGGAGGGAGGAGAGAGGAGAGAAGAAGTACTGTTTTAATAGGCGGCTTGACTTCTCATTTCCCCGAGGCTCACGGTGCTTTTAACCTCGCACTAATGATTTGCCTGCAGTTCTGAACCAGCCACAAGAAGAAAATCATCTGGATAAACTCCTCCCTGGACTAGAAGGAGACCTCGTTAAAGGAAAATATCTCTTAACTATGGGCTTTTTTGCCCTAAACAATTTTTTTTTCAACCAAGTTTTCCTGATTCTATTTTACGTATGTGACCTTTTTGGTATTATTGAATGCATGTATTTATTTACTTTGTATTTATTCCTTCTCCTTTTTCTTTTTCTTCTTCTTTTTCTTCTTCTTCCTCTTCCTCCTCCTCTTCCTCTTCCTCCTCCTCTTCCTCCTCCTCTTCTTCCTCTTCTTTCTCAAGGTTGGTGTTCTACCACTTGAGCCCCCACCAGCTCCACTTCTGATTTTCTGGTGGTGAGTTGGAGATAGTCTTATGAACTTTCCTATTTGAGCTGGCTTTGAACTGTGATCCTCAGATCTGAGCCTCCTAAGTCACTAGGATTACAGGAATGAGCCACCTTCACCCAGTTTATCTTATTGCCTTTTTTTTTTTTGGGTCTGGTCGTGGGGCCTGAACTCTGGGCCTGGGAGCTGTCCCTCAGCTATTCAGCTCAAGGCTAGCGCTCTACCACTTGAGCCACAGCACCACTTCCGGCTTTTTTCTTTTTGCTTATGTGGTGCTGAGGAATCGAACCCAGGGCCTCGAGCATGCAAGGCAAGTGCTCTACCACTGAGCCACCTTCCCAGCCCCTCTTATTGCCTTTTAAATAGTTGTACAAGGAGGTTTCGATTGAACCTGACAGTTGATGAGCACAATGCATCTTGATCCACCCCTTCCATCTTCCTCCCCCATCTCTCCCAGCCTGGCAGATGTTTAAACATGTTTCCTCCATGTCAGTGAAGGAGATTGTATCTCTGGGAATCCAAAACTCACCTTAGGTTCTAAAAACATATAATACAATTAAAAGAGAGTTGGCACAGCCAGAGGATCAACTTGTCACAAAGGTAACCTGGACAGGACAGTCCGTGAGACTCTTATCTCCAATGAACCACCAAAACCCAAACCAAAACAAGGCAAAGCAAAACAAAACCCAAAAGGAGAACTGTGGTTCTACTGGTAAATTGCTAGCCTTGAGCATGAAAGCTCTGGGACAGCACCTAGGTCCTGAGTTCAAGCACCAGGATGGGCACCACAAAACAGAACAAATTTCTAGAAACCTCCCTGATTCTGGTGACAGTTATGCCGTGTCAGATACTGTGCATGAACCCCTGGCTCGGAGCTGGTCCCGCGGCAACTGCTCCCATTATGTGCATTCATCAGGCATGTCCTGGTTGCCTTCCCCGGGGCTCACCCGCAGGGGAGGGGTGGAGAGGGTGCCCATGGCTGCTTGGCCAGCACACTCTGGAGTCAACTATCAGAAGGAGTTCTGATTTAATGGCCTTCAAGACCTTTCCAAGGGGTCTTCTAAAATGAGCCTCCAGCTCTGCCCTAGAATGTGTATGCCTCAAGTCAAGACTCTCCACAAGCCCAGCTTTCCTGGGCTCAAACTGGGGATGGTGATTTGTGCCATTTCCGGGCTGAACGCCATAAAGTTCCAGCTGCAGGGAAACACAATTTCCTCAAGATCTTAATTGTGTCCACTTCTGCAGAGGACGGCTGGAAGGTGGGCCGACATAATGATCGGATCACAGGGGCATGCACTTAGAGCAAAAATTTAAATATTCAGCGCTCTGATAGTCTGCCCAAGGGAAGCGGGGTGGGGGCGGGGGGTGTTCCAGATAGTTCCATGGTCAGGTCAGGCCATGCACAGTGGGCAGCCTCTGTAATGACAAGGCTCAGCACCCTGGGGGGTGTGAAATTGCTGTTCTTAAGCAGGAAAAAAAAAAAAAAAAGGTAAAGCTGTGAAATTCACTCCAGATTTTTCAAAAAGCAAGCTCATCAAGGCTTTGGAGTGCTCTATCCAGCATGGCATTGAACACTGCTTCCAGGGTCTGGTTGAAAGCTGCGATTTAATACTTTTCCTGAGGCTAATTAAAGGTGAAGAAGAGAAGGAACCAAAATGGGTAATACTTCTGCGCCGTGCACTGCATCATCTTCTGTCAAAATGTCTCTGAAGTTCCAAATGCAACATATAAAAGAATTCTAAAGTGTGGAGCCAGTAATATATGTCTCTTCCCTTCTTGATATACATGTTTCCCATGATTGAACAAGAAGAACATTGATAGCATTTCTTTCCCTTTTCACATGGACGGCCAGGAAGCTCTCAGCCAAACTCAACACATGGAATAGTGACCCTCCAAAACACACAAAAAAATCCATGCCCAGTCCCTAGAACAGGACACCTCACATGGCCAAAGGGACTTGGCAGATGTGGACTTAGCACTGGGAAACTCTCAGCGGCCACCTGTGTTGGTTGGGTGTAGCCTGTCCGCTTTCCCTGACGATCTACTTTGCTTCTGAGAAGGCCTAGGCCATCACCTCAAAACGCAGGACAGAAGAACGGTAGCTTAGGTGACTTGTGCTGATTTGGGCCTCATGGGCGGCACCATGTACGAGCCTTCAAGGGACCGGTCTGGGAGACGCTGGCTGACCAGAGTTCTGGGTTTAGAGATGGAGACATGGATTGTGACTGGGAGGTAGAATGGCGGTGTCTTCATCAGTGCTGGCTGCCGTGACAGCGGGCAGCAGGGTGTGGTTGGACGGCAGGCATTCGTTCTGCGCTGTCCGGAGGCGCTGGCTGAAGTCTCGTGGAGAGAGGAAGCACGCCCTGGCTTGCAGCAGCTGCTCAGCAGTGGCAGAGAGCTGCGGTGTGTTTTCATTAAGCTCCAGTGCCACACCCAGTTACCTCCTCAGAGACTCATCTCTGGGTGCTCCTTTTGGGGCTGAGACTGAAGCACAGCAACCTGGGGAAACAGAATTCGGTCCCCTCACGCTGCTTGCTGTCATTGTCACAGATGGCTGAGCCCATTGTCTTCATGCCCACAAGAGGAATAAAGACAGACACAGGTTCTTTTCTTTTTCCCCCATCAGTCCTGGGGCTTGAACTTAGGGCCTGGGCACTGTCCCTGAGCTTTTCTGCCGAAGGCTCACTTTGAGCTACAGCACCACTTCTGGTTTTCTGGTGGTTCATTGGAGATAATAGCCCCATGTTTGTTCTTGTCAGGGCTGGCTTTGAACCACAGTCCTCAGCTCTCAGCCTCCTGAGTGGCTAGGATGACAGGCATGAGCCACCGGTGCTTGGCGAGCTGCACATTCTCAGCCAGTCAGATTCTCAGCCCGGAAGTGCTTCAGCTGGAGGAAGTGGTGACCAGAAGTTGTGCACTTCCTCTCAGACTCACAGAGAACTGGAAGCTGGCGATAGTTCACCTCAGGACCTCAATCGCCCTGAAAAGCCTCCCATCTCCCCCTCCCCCCCCCAGCTGCAGCAAAAACATGGGGTGGCGAGAGGCAAGAGAAAAGTAGACAGGCCCAGGAGAGAGAGCTGGGTTCCAATCCTGCTGCTAGTCCGAGGTAGGACCTTGGTGAATCACCCCTGCAGCCTCCCACATCCCCTTCCGCTCTTCCGCAGACCCAAGGAAGGCTGCTGACAACTTAGTGATTTAACACCTGCCGAGCAAACTTGCACCTGCGGCCTGAGTGTGTAACTCAGGAGGAATTGGAGGCTCCAAGGCTGACTCAGGACCACACTGCCTGGCTTTAAATCCCAGCTTTTCCACCTAGTGTGTTTCTGTGCCTCAGTTTCCGCATCTGTAGCATGGACAAAATAGCATTGGGGCTGTTTAAATTATTAAATGTCGGCACCCATGACACGATTAGAATAGTGTTGACTGTCAGTGAGCAATGAGTCCTCTAAATGAAGTAAGGTTTGCAGCAGGAGGTGTTGATGGCCTTTTCCGTTTGGTTGGGAGAGGGGCTGTGATGTTATGGATTGAATCGTATCCCCATTAAGATGGGTTAAAGTCCTAACTCCTGGCACCTGTGCGTGTGGCCTTCTTTGGAGATTCCAGTTGAGATGAGGTCATGCTGGACGACAGCGGCCTTGATCCCATGACTCTTGGAGGAAGAGAAGGGATGCTGTGCCTCACAGAGGGGACACCGTGTGCTGATGGGGGCCGAGGCTAGAGTGCTGGAGCCAAATCCAGCGAGGACCTTGAGCCAAGGGCGGCCATTGCCACCAGCTGGGAGAGCGAGCAGGGCCCGCAGGCACCTCCATCTCAGACTTCTGGTCTCCAGAGCTACTGGGGGCCCAGTTTCTGCTCCCTGAGCCACCAGTTTGCGGCACTTCATTACGACAGCATCCGCACTTGGTCACGGGCCACATGGACCTTTGGGATCTGTACCAACAGGAGAATGGGACTCCATTCTTATGCACAGTGTAGGACTCGGCGCTTCTAAAAATAGGCTTTGTGGAGGCATTTATTTTTAACTACGATTGGGATTGGAGAGGGAGAAGTCAATAGGCTTTAGGGCATTGCCCAGAACTGTGGATCTTAAGCACGGTAGGAAGAAGGGGTATAGAGGAAATAGTGGGGCCTTAGGTGCAGTTTTTATAGCATTTTATTCTAGACTAACCCTCAAGTCTTTATGAGGAGAGAGTGCTGAGGAGCTACATGGAGGAGCAGGCAGAGAGCTTTTAGTCCTCCTTTGCTTTTAGCAACTTACTGGTTAGTGAATCTGGGGATGGTAGTGTTTGGTTTCAATTGAAATAATCCTAAGAAATATACAGGTATTCATTTTAGGGATTCCAAAGAAGCCCGTGACCACAGAACTGTGAATTTCAGTAACTGCAGCAGCACAGACTGCAATGGGAAGTGTCACCTCTTCTCTAGCTAGGTACAGGCCTGCTGCTATCCTCTGTGGCCATTGATAGGGCCTAGCAGGGATGTGTGCGTATGTGTGCCTCTCCTGGGGCTTAATCTCAGGAACTGCATGCTGTCCCTGTGCTTTGCTGCTCAAAGGATAGAGCTCTCACACTTAAGCAACAGCTCCACTTTTGGCTTTTTAGTAGTTTATTAGAGATAAGAGTCTCATGACTTTCCTTCCCTGGGCTGGCTTTGAACCACAATCCTCAGATCTCAGCCTCCTGAGTAGGATTATAGGCATGAGCCACCACCAGCTGACCTAGCAGGGATTTTTTAAAGGTTAAGGCATAATCAATCTATTTCCTCAATATAAAGATGCCATTTTTTAATAGAAATTGAGAAACCAGGAACATTTCAGGAGAAACCATGCCAGGAAAAGGGACTATTTGGAAATGTTTCTACCATCGTATGGTTTTGTAACTCAACTCAATTACCTAGGTCACTATATCAAAGCTATGATATCTTCACATTAAAAAATGCCACTTGTAAAGGGTTTGAGAAAATCTAGGTGTGAGGTGACTTATGGCTGTAGTCCTAAGTACTCAGGATACTGAGATCTAAGAATTAAGGTTCAAAATCAGCCCAGGCAGACAAAATTGAGAGACTTATCTCCAATCAACCAGCTAAAAGCTGGAAGTGGAGATATGGCTCAAGTGGTAGAGCACCATCCTTGATTAAAAATGTAAGGGACAGTGCTCAGACCCTGAGTTCAAGTCCTAAGTACTGGCACGCACACACACGCGCGCGCGCGCACACACACACACACATACACACGTTTGAAAAATATTTTTGTTTAAAAATCTTCCAACTGAAGAGATTCAGTGGGTCTTGCTTGCTAAAATATATGAAGGTAACCTCTTCTCATTATTTTGCCAGGACAAGTGGATAACACTAGAGAAGATGGAAATTCACTGGCTGCAGTTCCACCTCTCAAATTCCTCGCTCTAGTGGTTGGATTGCTGGCTGAATACCAAGTGCGTTCAGCTCACAGACCTGTTTCCATCTCTTTCTATATTACATGCTCTGTGGGGTTCTCCATCAAGACCATCAAGGTCATTGAAATGACCTTGGTTAACACTCTGGGCTGGCCTTGAACCTTGATCTTCCCATCTCTAATGTCATAGTAGATGAGATTAAAAGCCTATGCTACCTTGCCTGGAGACAAAATAGTGCTTTTTAAGGGAGAACTTTCTCTACGTGACACAAGGAGAAGGCTCCATCTGTGGTCCATAGATGAACCCTCCCAGGACACTACACATATGGAACTTGGCTGTGGACATCCAACTGATGGATTCCTTCTCTGTTGCGTCAAAGCCAGCCAGCCTATGGAGCCGCAAGGTCAGATGGCAGCACACTTATCCAAGTCCTCTTACATGCCAACCGGGTCTCAATTTATACAGGAAAACAACTGGTGTCTTATTCTATACTGTCTACTTCTGGGCAAATTTGGTTGGTCCATTTGGGGCTCTGTGTAATGCCTCTGATTGTGAAAGCCATTTTCTTGAATCTGTCACTGCACCCCAACATTTGTACATGGAAGGAAAGCTACCTGGGTCCATTCCCAGACTCCCCTCTGTTAGGGGAGGCTTCTACCTATGCCATGCTGCTGTTCATTTCTGACCTCACTTATAAATGCAAAGGCAGGGGCAGTTGGAAAAGAAAGAAAAAGATCCATGTGAGCCACAATGTACCTAACCCACTAGGAAACCCAAGTTTGGGTCATCCCTAAAGTGGAGAGTGAAGAGAGCTGGGTCTTGTCCCATCTCACTCAACATTTCCAGACTCCTTGGGTGTCTCCCTTGTGCTGCTACAGCAGGGCCATTCAGAAAGTTAAACAAGAAAAGGGGGGTCCTATGGTGTCCAGAACAGTACCCGCAGGAAGGAATCAAGATGGCGCCACTTCCTGTGTCCACTGGCCTAGGTCTCTGCACACCGCCTTGCAACAAGAATCCCACTCACAGCGGGCCAGGGCCCCTACCTTTCACAGCTCCCGTCTCATCATTCTTCTCCAAGAGGAGGTAGTGAGGGCTCTCAGGGAGGAAGGGCAGGACTGCCAGCTGCACCACGGCAGGGACAACGATCACTCCAAACAGGTATGGCCAAGTGCTCTCCTGTGGGGAGGAGGAGATGAGCAGGAAGCAGGTGACCCTTGGCATGATGCCTGGGGCTGGGCCAAGAGCCCAAGTGGCTTCATCTCTGCAGAAGGCCTCCCAGCTTAGCATGAGCCCAATGATGGAGAGAGGGCAAACCTGGGGCAGAGGAGCAGAGGGAAGGAGCAAGGGTAGAGGGAGTTCCCAGGTGTAATTCAGTGTCCAGGTGAACTGGATTTGACTTTTTTACTGACAATATTGGTTTCAACTCAGATCCTCAAACCTCATAGGCAGTCATTCTACCCCTTGTGTCATGCCTCCAGTCTCCTTGCTCTGGTTATTTTTGAGATAATGTGCCTTTTTCCCCTTAGGCAGGCTTGGACTATGATCCTCCTATTTATACTTTTTACTGTAGCCGGGATGGCAAACACACATCATGAAGCCTTGCTGTTTTCCCTGGTCTGGTCTGAAACCATGAACTCTCAAACTCCCACGTGGCTAGGTTTGCAGGCATGAGCCACCAGTGCCTTGGCGTTGGCTTCCTTGCATCCTTCTCAAGCCCAAGAATTCCCAGTGACCCCCAAGGTTCTCCTGAGCATTGGTTCCAGGGATTCAGCAGTTCCTGTTACAGATGGGCAGAGATGGTACAGGCATATAACTACTGTTCCAAATGTGTCTTGGGAGAATGAATGGAGAGGAAAGAGGCTTTCTTACACACTGGTCATTACCAAGGCTTCTTCTTATTTGTAGAGGGAAGGCTCTAGGTCTTTTCAGCGTTTACAGAAACAGGAGATCAAGGAAGAGGAGAAAGAAGAGGAGGAGGCAGCAGCAGCCTGTCAGGTGCTGCGGAGAATCTTTCCTGGGCTGGTGAGAGCCACATGCTATATGGAAATCTGAATGTGCTTTGGGGCGAGGGTCCTTCCCCTGCTAGTCTACCATACAGGAAAGATGTGGATAGTTGGCCATTTTTAACTCTCAATTAAAAAGTGAATGATCTTGCAAATAACTTATTACCTTTCTCATTTGAAATAGATTTCTGGGTCATATTTCTCCCAAGATATTGGAGCCTTAAGTCCTTTCCATAAATACTGCTTCCCTGGGACCCTACTTGCCTAAAATACCTCAATGGCCCCATGGTTCCAAACAGCTGCACCTGCCTGTACCTTGGTGAAAGAGGCTGTGTTGGCCATACTTCAGTCAGGTTTCAGACCTTCTGTTGGGCCATTGTGCGTTTCCTGATAAAAGCCCAGAGACAGCAGAGAACTTTGCCAATGGGTTTAACAGGGTCCCACAGAGTCCCTCCAGTATCTGATCACATTCTATCTAGGCAGAGTCACCATCTTATGCCACCCACTAGGTGATGCTGGATCACCTGTTCAGGAAGAATTCTTTTTTTGGGGGGCGGGGGTCTGATCGTGGGGCCTGAACTCTGGGCCTGGGTGCTGTCTCTCAGCTCTTCAGCTCAAGGCTAGCGCTCTACCACTTGAGCCACAGCGCCACTTCTGGCTTTTGTTCTGCTTATGTGGTGCTGAGGAATCGAACCCAGGGCCTCAGGCATGCAAGGCAAGCGCTCTACCACTGAGCCACCTTCCCAGCCCATCAGGAAGAATTCTATGGCCAGTTTGGACACGAAGCTTTCTCTGAATCATGTCTATCCACTGCCCCCATCCTGCTCCTTGGCTGTAAGCCCATGCTGTCGTCCTCCTCTGCACATTCATTCATGCTGTGCTGTACATTCATGCTCTCTCCATGGTCCTGATCAAAGTCCACGAGTCATGCCTCCTCCCAGATGCCTGGTGGGTGCTCCACTGAGAACCCACAGGTTCTCAATCTCACATGGTGCTGTTCTTCCATCCTGGCTCACACATGCCTTCTCCACCACAGCCGAGGCTATTGCTGTAGACTGAGCACCCACTCCAGAGACCTCTGGGTCCCCTCCGGCCCCGTCTTTCTCTCGCCCACTGTCGTGATGAGATCCCACGGCTTCCATTCCCTGCCTCTTTCTCACAGGCACCTCTCCACTTTTTCCTCATGACCCTCACATGATGGCGCTTCTCCCTGCATTTTTTTCTAGGTTCTCATAGTGGCCAAGAGCTGTGCACAAATCTTTCTGCCAACCTTTCCTTTCGCCTCACATCCTCAGAGTGACCTTTCTAGAAGGTGAATTTGACTTTATCTTGGGGATAAAGTAAAAAACCTCTTGGCCTTGATTATCAAACTCTCCTCCCGGCTCTTGCTCAGGATGCCAGCAGACACCTGCTTGACACCTACCCTGCCCTGACAAGCCGTGAGCTTCCCTGAATCTTCCACATCGACCCATGATGCTGTTCCCTCAACGCTTGTCTACAGAGGACCGGGGGCAGCTGCCCTTTCCACAGGATATCCATCAACTCACCCTTCAGATTTCAGCAATTCCTTCCCCAGATGACATCACAAGATGGTACAAAGCTCCATCAGAGCACTCCTAACCCTGGTTAGCAGTGGTTCCTTCCTGGGCCTAGCTACCCTAGAGATTATGCCCCCAAGGGCCATCTTTACCTTGCTCCTTCGTGTATCTGCTCAGTGCCTGGCCTATGCCAGGTGCACACATGTGTTTGTGGGCTCCATGCACATTGGATAAGGCTGAGTAGATAAGCCATATGGCAGCATGGAGGTAAACTCTTGAAGCAACACTGTTTTTCAATGCTAGAGCTTTCTGATATGATAGCTTATTAAAGAGCAGGCAGTTTACAGTACTACAAATACTATTCTCTAATGTAGCATTATTGTAATTTCCCATAGAAGATTTGACTTCATTCCTGCCCTTCCTCCCTTTTTTCCTTCCTTCCTCCCATCTTCCTTTTCTCCTTTTCTTTTCTTTTTTTAAAAAAGAAACATCCTTTATCAGTCTCAAAGCACTCACCTTATTGAGAGAAATACACATACCTGAAAGCAAAATGCTACTTTGGCCCAATCTGCCAAGTCCCACAAATAAAGAATTTTAAGGTAAATGTCGAGGTGTTAATTATGGACTAGGAGAACTTTGTTTTTGAGAATGACATTTAGGATTTTGGGTGTTTGTCCTTTTGATCTGAAAACTATGCATGTCTTTATAGGAAAATAAAGGATGTGAAAAATCTTTTTTTTCTTTTTCGTTTCTTTTTGCCAGCACTGGGGCTTAAACTCTGGGTCTTGGTGCTGCCCTGAGCCTCTTTGTGCTCAAGGCTAGCACTCTACCACTTGAGCCATAATGCCACTTCTGGCTTTTCTGAGTAAGTTATTGGAAATAAGAGTCTCATGGACTTTCTTGCCTGGGATGTCTTTGAACTGCGATCCTTAGATCTTACTTAGCCTCCTGAATAATTAGGATTACAGGTGTGAGATACTGGAGCCTGGCTTAAAAAAATCATTTTTTTTGTCAGTCACAGGGCTTGAACCCTGGGTCTGGGCACTGTCCCTGAGCTCTTCAGCTCAAAGTGAGTGCTCTACCACTTGAACCATAGCACCACTTCTGGTTTTCTGGTGGCTAATTGGAGGTAAGAGTCTCATAGATTTTCCTGCCCAGGCTGGCTTTGAACTGCAACCCTCAGATCTCAGCATCCCGAGTATCTAGGATGACAGGTGTGAGCCTTTGTCAAGCCTTTGGCTTGAAACATCAATTTTTTAAAATGTGTTTTTCAGGGGCTAGGAAGGTGGCTCTGTGGTAAGGGCTTGCCTTGCATGCATGAAGCTCTGGGTTTGATTCCTCAGCACCACATAAGCAGAAAAAGCTGGAAGTGGCACTGCAGCTCAAGTGATAGAGTACTAGCTTTGAGCTGAAGAACTGAGGGACAGCGCCCAGGCCCAGAGTTCAGGCCCATGACCGACCAAAAAAAAAAAAAAAGGAAAAAAAGTGTCTTCCATTATTCTCGATGAAAAGAGGAGGTATGAAAGTTTTTTACATTTACTTAAATAAAACTTAAACCAGGCACTATGGCTCATGCCTATAACCATAGCTACTCAGGAGGCTGAGATCAGAGGATCATGGTTCAAAGCCAGCACAGGCAAAAAAAGTTTATCTCCAATAAAGTACTCAGAAAAATCTGGCAGAGAACCCTGTGGCTCAACTGGTAGAGTGCTACCCTTGGGCAAAAGAAGCTCAGGGACCAGGCCATTATTTCAAGCCCTAGGACTGGCACACGCACACACACACACACACGCACACACACACACTCACACACACACACACACACACACACACACACACACAAAATTAAGTCCACAAGGAGTGCCTCATACAGGAGTCTAATGTTCTAACTCTTTTAAACAACTAGCTTACTGTTTAACAACATGAACACCAGGAACCTGGAATGCATGTTGTCAGGGGGCGGGGGCTGAGGTCAAGGAGAGTGTGTCAATAATAATAATGTAGAGGTTAACCAGTGAATAAACAAAAATTGTACCATAAATGTAGGGGTGAGAGAGAGGAAGGGGAAAGAGGGATAGTGGTGTAAGGATGCTAAGATTTTGACTGCTGTGGTAAGACGTCAGCGAACAATGTTTAAAGCAAAGGAATCTACAGTACTGTTAGGTCCAACTATGTTTATGCAGGGCAAACACTTCACACATTTCTGCCTTCCCACTCAGCCAGCTTCCTCTTCCCCTCCACCATATGGAACAAAGGCTCACAACGGCCATTCTGCTCTTCAAGACTGAAGGTCGGAGGAGCCAAGTGATCTGCGTAGGACATCAGGAAAATCAAAGAGGGGGTGACACCAATGTACCATCTGGACCCTGGCTGGACCCTGAGCCTGGATGTGTCTGGGTCCTGGGACACAGACAGGTGGTGCGGCACATGAGCAGTGCACTCAGGGTTCTCTAGAAACAGTACTTATTTATTTATAATGGTGAGCTCGGGACACCCTACTTGAATCATGTCCCCAGTCTTTTAGCATTCGTTTATGTGTGGTGCATGTGTGTGTGTGTGCGCGTGCACGTGTGCATGTGTGTGTGTGCGTGTGTGTGTGTATGTGTGCATTGGAACTTGAACACAGGCCTGGGTGATGTTCCCTGAGCTCTTTTTCTTTTTCTCAAGGGTAGCAAACGGTACCACGTACACTCTGTACGCTCTGGTACTGTACCACGTTCAGCTCTCACCTTCCTGTGTAGCTCGGTTTGCAGGTGTGAGCCGCCAATGCCTGGCTCTAGTTTTACTTATTTTTCAGATAAAGCCTCATATTTGTGCCCGGGCCCAGCCTTGGACTGCAGTTCTCCTACCGAAGCTGCTCTTGTGGCTGGGGTAAGATGACATCATGACCCTGGGCCAGCTCTTTAAGGTAGGATCTCACCAACTCTTTGCCCAGCCTGTCCTTGGATGGCAATCTTCCAATCTACCTGGGATTATAACAGACATAAGCCCTGACACATGGACTTGGAACCATTATTTCCCAGAGAGAGCGTGGCCTCAAGGTGGGCGGTGGGTAGGGCTGGGCTGAGCTTGCAGAGGGCTGCTGGTCCCACAGTCCTCTGTGACTCCATGATTGCCCTCAGCACTGGCCCTTCAGCACAGCCCCGGCTACAGGCCACCCACTCAAAGAAGAGCTAACTAGTCATTTTCCCAGAGGCTGTCTTGGAAATAGGACAGCAAAGTTCAGACAAGCTTCAAAGACTTTCTTTAAAATTCCAGTTGACATGACTTCAAGAACTATTAAATTTATCTTTCTTGCTCTTCAACCTTCCTGGTCTGTAGAGAAGACACCAGCTGGGCTGACCATGGGGCTTAAGTGCCCCCAGCCCCGGGCTCAAATCACCACCCAGCAGTAGACATTGTCAGAAATGCCAGCAGGCAGAGCTTCAACAATGCCACAGCCTCTCTGGCTGATGGTAAACTGGAGGTCGGGGCAGGTGGCTCATTGGAACCAAAGCGCCCTGAGCACTCAGGTAACTCGAGCACTGCAGGGGAGCCTGGTGGTGGGGATGGGGAGGGTTCTATTGAGCTCTCCTAGAGAAGTCCAGCCAGGCTCCTCAGCCTAAGTCCAAAGTCAAGAGGATTGTGTGACTTCCCTCTCCCGTGAGGGTCGGCTCAGGATTATAGATCTGCACTCGGACCTATGACAATAGAAAGATGGAACCCCTGGCCTTGGGCCTGGGAAAGACAGGCTGCAGAAGACCACTTGAGCAGGGTGCAGAACAAAGCAACTCTAGAAGAGGAGTCTCGTTTGGGGGAGACTGAGGCAGGCACAGTGAATTCTTGTGTCCAGTAGGAGCGAAAGCATTAAAGGAAGGGAGGGCCCTTCTCTCTGGGCCTTGAAGGGTGGAACTGTCAGGGGAGATGGAGGAAGCAAGGGCGGAAGCAGATGCTGTGATCTCCAGGCATGGGATGGAGGGCGGGGGCAGCGCCTTCCACCGTCCGAGTGCTTGGGAAATGAGTCAAGGGAGTCTGACAGAAATGAGCACTGTGAGGAACCCGCCTCAGTCCAAAGCCTGGAATGGGGCTGAGAAGCCTTGTTAACAATCTCCACCTGTGTTGCCAACTTACTGAGGGAGGAGGGAGCTGGGTCACAGGGGCTTGACACGTGCCACCCCGTCACGTGCACGTCCAAGCCTCGTCCTAGGGAACCCAGAGAACTACAGACAGAGGTAAGGGAGAGGTTTGATGTGTTTAGTTTTCCTCCCCTTCCCCCACCTTCAATTCTCGCAAACAAGCTGTTGACTGTTTTGTAAAGCCAAGGTTGGCTGCACATGGATGAACGATGGGCTTGCAACTGTCCGTGTCTTCTGCATTTCAGGGATTTGGCTCAATAGGTATCTGGCAGGTGGGGATGAGAGTCTATACGTCCAGCATATTCCTCCACAGGGAGTTAAGGAGCGGTCCTGTCCTGCCTGCTGGGCTTCGCAATAGCTGAGGTCACTGAAGGAAGCAGGTACTGCAGCCTCCAGACACCAGGCCCACCACGTGCCCTCAAACCAGCGCCCTTCCCGTGGGAGAGACTCTGTTAGCAATACAGATGCCACAGCAAGCCAGCAGGACTTTTCCTGCCCTCTGTAAAGATCCTACATTGTCTAAAGGAGAAAACTCAGCATCCTAAGTAAGTGTCATTTAAGGGAAACTGTCCTCTGAAGTGGTGTTGGGAATGTGAAGGTTGGGGCTGGGACGGTGGCTCAGTGGTAGAGCACTTGCCTTGCATGCACAAGGCCCTGGGTTCGGTTCCTCAGCACCACATATGCAGAAAAAGCCGAAAGCGGCACTGCATCTCAAGTGGTAGAGTGCTGGCCTTGAGCTGAAGAGCTGAGGGACAGCGCCCAGGCCCAGAGTTCAAGTCCCACGACTGACCAAAAAAAAAGTGAAGGTTTGTTGGACCTAGGGGCACATAACTATAATCCCAGATATTTGAGAGATGGAGGCAGGAAGATTGCAAATTTGAAGCAGTCTGAGCAAAGGTAGTGGTGAAAACTCATTGGAAACAGATGCCCTCTTCCCCCCCCCCCACCATGGCTCACTCATGAGCCGCTCACTCATGGCTCATATTGTTCCCATGTCTCTTCATACTTCAGCCCACGATTTTCATCTAAGTTCCTTCTTTCTTCATCTTTGCAAGAGAAATCATGAAGCAATATGCTTTTTAAAACAACATTTGGAAGCACCAAATGTCACATAAACATTCCAGCAGCACCTTGTTTTATAATGGGCCCGAGGAAATTCACGACCCACCCTGAACACCCACCCCTGGCCCCTCTCTGGCCTGGCCTCACACATTGCCACCTTCTCACCATTCCCTCCAGCTGCACCTCAAAGGGACTGCCTGCATGGAAGCAGAGCTTTACAACCTTTCTTCCCCCCCAACCTCCGTTATCTCTGTCTTTGAAGGTAAATGAAAATATATGATTAGAATAGAGAAGAGGAAGTCCTGACCCCCAGTGAAATAACTGCGGATCTCACTTGGCTGGAACACTGTGTATCTCCAAAGAGAGGAAGGCAAAGACTTCATGTAATGTCCTTCCTGGAAAAAATAGTCCAATGGTCACCTTCCCAGAGTGTGAATTTGGAAAACAAAAACAAACAGTAACTGGGCTATGAACACGCCTTCCAAGCCAGGGCGAAGGTGATCTAGAAAATCTAAAGCTTGGGGAAATATTGTCTGGATACAAAATGTCCCTCCAAAGACTCATGTGCTCTGAAAGCCATATTCAAAGGAGACTTGGGAACTGATGGGATCCTAAGGGCTCTGGTATAATCAATGATCAACCTGCTGATGGATTTTTACATTGATGGGATTTTTTTGGGGAAGTGATGAGAACCAGAAGCTAGGGCCACCTGTAGGAACATCCCTGGGCCTGTGTTTGGAAGATACCTCGCCCTGGCTCCATGTCCACCTGCTCTGTCTCTTGCTCTGTCTCTCCACTTCCTGGCAGCCATGAGGTAAGAAGTCCCCCCTGCCCCAGCATGCCTGTCCTTCCACGATCTCCCTTCACACAGCCCTTACCACAGCAAGGTAGACAGCCAGTCCTGAAACCCCAGAAGCACACATCTTTCCTCTAAGCTGTTTTACTCAGGTATTTTTATCACATGATTAAACAACTGACCAACGCAGGAAGAAACAGCCTGCAGGCAGCAATAACTTCTATCAGTAACTTCTTCTGCCCCAAGCCCAGGAGGTAGCCTTGGCCTTGCGCTCATTCCTCACCCTCTTCATGTTCACCATCTCCTGACCTCCAACCCCCCCAGGTTCCCCCCAGAGGGCTCCACTCCATCTTCAGGCCTTTATCATTGATTACTTATTATTTTTGTTTCCTTTCTTAGGATGTCCTATCGCCCAACCCCCACCAGCCACTGCCTGACTCCGGCTCACCTCGGAGGGTCTGGTTTAGACGCTGCTTCTGGGAAGCCTTCCCGGATTCCTCCCTTGTTCCCACGTGGATGAGGAGTCACTTTTCCCCAGGCCACACAGAAAGTGCACTACTATGCTTAGATTCTAATTCTGGCCTTCCTGTTCCCCAAATATCAAGCCAAATCAGAAAATGTGTGGTGATCATTTATTTAGGGGGAAGAAAGACTCTCGAGTGAGGTCAAAGATGCTCAACTACGTATTGAATGAAATCTGAACAAGGGGTGTGGCATGATTCTATTAAAAAGGCAACCAACCAAATCTGTTTATATGGTTTGCAAAGAAGAGAGGATGGCTAAGTGAACATCCATTGAGTTGTTAACCATAGCTTGAATACGTCTGTATTCATCACATGACTCTCAACAGCCTTACCAATGAGGGAAAGGCTCGGGCCCCTCGGGAATCATGTAGGTAGGGATGAACTCTGCGGGAAGGACTCCCACCAGGGTGGTAACAGCGAGGGGAGAGCAGACATGGCTGGCCAGGGCGCCACACTTACCTTTCCCAACAGCTCAGGCAGGCCCAGCAGCTGCCCAGCAAACACGCCAGTGCAGATGAAGATGGCAGTCATCTGGCCCAGGGCGCCACGGATCTCCTTGGGTGAGATCTCGTTGAGGTACATGGGTAGTGCACTGAGGGCGATGCCTGGGGAGGAGGCGAGCAGCAGTGAGAGAGCCAGACGGGTCTTCTGGTCCCCAGGCCTCCCGCCCTGCCTCTGCGCCCTCTTGATAATGAGCAATGCTCCAGCCGCAGTTACCATTCCCAGCACACCGCACAAAGCACAAGGCCTTCATAGGTGCGTTGTCGTTTAAACCATAAAGCGGGCTGGGTTGTGTTCCATGGATCAGGATGGAGATAATGGTGGTGGCGGCCCGGTGATAACGATGCTAAAGGTGGCGGTAATCACGGTGATGGTGGGGCTAATGATAGTGGCAATGCTATAATGAACGCAAAGATGACGGTCAGGACAGGTTTCCATCAGGTGATGGAAAGGAGCCATCAGCAGCGCTGAAACCTGGTCTGCACCTACAGCCTCTAGGACTATGAAACTGCATACTTTCATGGTTATGAACCTCTCACCCAAAATCGACACTCTTCTTCTTTACTGAGCTATTTCCCGATCACAGAGTGTAAATCAATTAGTCCTCCATCTGTTCACCCCATCTGGGGTCCCTCATAGCTTTTCATGTTGTATGGAAATACAGCAGCCCTCTTTTATTCTCAGGAATTCATCCCACGAGCTTAGTGGATGTCTGAAACCATGGATAGTACTCAACTCTCTACAGAGTCTGTCTTTCCCTATACTTATATATCTATGGTAAAGATGAACAAATTATGTGCAGTAAGAGATTAACAGGCTGGACTTTGTGGTACATGCCTGTAACCCCAGCTTCTTAAGAGACAGAATATGAAGATTACAATCTGAGGCTCACCCTGGGTAAAAAGTGTTGAGACTCTATCTGAGAAATAACAAAAGCAAAAAAGGCTGGGGATGTGGCACAAATGGTAGAGTTCATACTTGGTGAGCACAGGCTCCGAGTTCAAACCTCAAATAAAGATTAATAGCAATAACTAAGAATAAAATAGAAAAAAATTAACAATATGTTAGAATAAAAGTTAGTTAAAACTTATTATTTCAGGAATTTCCTATTTAATATTTTCTGACTACTGAAACTATGAAGCTCTTAAGGTAGCCGACTCGGACTTGCACCTGGGACCATGGACAGGCCTAGGAAGGCCAGGGCAGGAATGTGTTCAGCACAATGAACTCTGCGATCTACATACGTTTTTTTTTCCCATGACACCATTCTATGTCCTATTTGTGTCAATGTAAAAATTAATGTATTTGTTTTTCTCTCTGTCTTCTAGAAAAAGTCCACTCCAGGAAGATGTCCTATATTCAAACATTCAGGAGAACTCAGTCCATCAGCAAATGGTTGAGCCTTCTACCTTCTGGAATTCTCCGTATTCATCACTGGCTTTTAATTCTTTACTATGCACGCACTGCCAATCTAACTCATGACCAGCAATTCTCCTTTCTTCCCAAGCAACTTCCTTCACCTTAAATGCCCTCATGTTCCCTTCTCTGTTCAGAGAGGGTTTGGTGAGAATAACCGACAGCAACTCGAGTTGTGGCACACCTCCAACAGACCATGTCCAGAGGTCAGGAGACTGTGTGTGTGTGTGTGTGTGTGCGCGCACGCGCGCTTAATTATCTCCTATTCTTCCCTCTCTTTCTTCCTGCTTAAAAAAATCTCCTTGGAATGGGGTCTAAAGGACATTCATTTTGAATGTGTGGTGTGTTAAAAATGGCATTTATCTTTGAATGTGGCGTATTTTTAGTTAAGGAAATTCAGAGTGTACCTAGCACCTATAATTAGCATTAGCAAGTACTGAAAGCAATGGAAAAGGATCTAAATGGATAAGATAGAAAATCAAAACCAGCAGAGAACAGATCTTGGAGACCTTAAACCATCCAGCTTTCCTCCAAGGCTGGTGGATCTGTAAACCAAGCCCCTTGGGTCCAGACCCTGAAGCTAAAGAAGAGTAGTAGCCGCGGCCATCATACAATAACTGCCCTCACTATGTCTGGGCTGCAGACAGGTAAAAGGGTGCCAGATTCTGGAACTGAACCAATTCCTTCACACACAGTAATGGCATTTTTGTTGTTAGATCACACCACCGGGAGACCCTAGTGTGAGGTCAGCACAGGCGGAGGAGGTGGCTGGGATGGGAGGGAGGTTGGTGTTGCTACTCCTGCACTCACACCCACATCCACAGGGCTCGCTTGGTCCAAGGGACCTAGCGAATGTGCTTCCAAATGTTTCCAAGCTGGGGCTTTCTCTTCCCTGCTTGGGAGCTCTTGGGATTCCATGTGAGGAAGTCTGGGCTGTGGCCCCTAGCTGACGTGCGGCTGATAGCATGGCCCAGCCCAGCTGCCCTGAACAGAACTCCAGGCAGCCATGGAACTGGGAGCGCAGTGCAAGGTTATTGCGTTCCATGTTGCTCTTTTATGTAGCCGAGCTTAACCAACAGGTTACGAAATCTTCCCAGGTAAATAACAGCCCAGATGATCTGAACCAACTGCCTTCATCTTTCTGAGTCTCAATATCGTCATGGAAATTAGGAAAGATCAGAGATTAAATAACACAAACTATGTATTATAAACATAGAAACGTCATGAAATCCAGCCTTTTCATAAGATTCTTTCTTGAGCTGGCCTTTCCCTCTGTGCAAATATTAAGACCAAGGAGAAATTTCATCTTGAGTTTGGGTTATTACAAAGTCCTAAATTATTCCCTTGTTTACTTTCAACTCCTTGCTCATCTGCTCCCCTCCTGAGAAATTGTGTGTGTGTGTGTGTGTGTGTACCCAGGGATTTTTTTCTCAAGGCTGGTACTCTACCATGTGAGCCACAGCTCTACTTCTGGCTTTTTACTAGTTAAATGGAGATGAATCTAACAGACTTTTCTACCCAGGCTGGCTTCAACTCATGATCATCAGATCTCAGCCTCTGAGTGGCTAGGTTTATAGGTGTGAGCCACCAGCATCTGGCCAGAGACATTTTTTAAAACTGTTATCCAATTGTTAAACAGATACCTTTGGCTTTAAAGAACTCTGTAAGAGGGGAATCTACCTTCCATGAGCTCATCCCAGGTTCCAGGCAGTCTCCAGCTGTGTGTGTGTTTGTGTGTGTGTGCACACATACGTGCATGTGTGTTCTACGTATAGTTTCAGGGTGGGCAGCAAGCACAAGAATCCTGGTAACCAGGGCAACTGAAATGGATCTGTCCACAAGACACGTCTTTCCTGACCTCCAAAGAAAGGGTTGAGCCTATGAAATAATGCATCAAATCAGTCTCACCTAAAGAAGGCTTAATAAAGATGCTCATGAAGTTCCTGGGGCCAGGTGAGTTGATGCCAAGTCCTGGTAAGCAGGGTACATTTGGCACATGAACCCCTCTACCCCGACCCTCACTGTGCTATTTGTAGAAGGGGTGATGACACTAAAGTGACCTGTTGGCCTTAAGCACCAAGGAGTTTGGTTGGAGACGATTCACTATGCATGAGGGGCACGCGCAGATGCACAGGAGCTCAGCTGCCCATCAACCTGTCTGTCACGGCTCAAACGCTGGGTCATCTCAGGATGACCATACTAACCCTGACCCGAAGGGTCAAAGCGGCCACTGCTCTGGAGCCTTGCTCCGGCCTCAAGGCACATCCCCCTTTCCCTCTAACGGCCTTTCCCTCCCAGGCTCTGACACTTTACATCTCGATTGGATTCATTGCTTGCTGGACTTTTGGGAAACAGTTTCATTCTAGCCTAGTATAGCTCTTCCAAGTAGGGATTCTAGGGTGTGGAAAACAAGACTCAGCTCTTAAGTAACTGGAAGTCAGAGCCGTAAGATGTAAGATGACTTCCCTGATTCTCCCCTCCCCCACCCTCCCCCCCTCCGCTCCCCCCCCCCCGCCCCCTCCATCAGCCTCAGCTCCCAGGCTCTGCCACCCTTACCAAGCTCCTTCCCCTCAATCTTTCCGGAACGTGCCAAGCACCCTTCCACCTCAGAGCTCTTGTTCTCTCCTTGCTGCTGGAGAACCAATTCCCCAGTCTTAGCTCAGTTCTCATCCTTGGTTCATTCTGGTCCCTGCCCAGGTGTTCTCCTCCAAACACTCTTCCCCGACGGGCTTTTCTAGAATAAGCGTCACTACGCCCCCGATGTGCTTTGCTTTCTTTGTAGCTGTCTGCCCTGCCACGAGCAGATCTTATGGTCCTCAACATACCCAACACCAGGCACTATCCTCGCCATTAATGCTGGTGTCTACAGAAAAGAATACATGAGTCAGAGGCCCAGACAGGAAACACAATCCTCGTCAGCACTCTCCCGAAACCCCAGGTAGCATTGGGATATGAATTTTAGGCCTCTTGGACTGACTTTGGTTTATTCCAACGAAGGGGATAAAGCCTTGCTAGAGGGCTGTTCCATCCTATGGGTCTCTCCTGCTTCCTGTGAGGTTCTGGCGTGCTTGGCCCCTGCCCACGGAGCAGCCGTAGCAAGCTGCGGCCTTGTGCCACCTTCAACAACTCTCAATTTCTAGTCAACCGCAGGTATGTATTCCTGCCCACCTCCCTGGTCATGTGACCACTCACCTCCATCCACACCCATGATGAAGCGTCCTAGGATGAGCATTTCAAAGGCTCCCGCCAGGAGAGAAAAAGCCATCAGCAATGCAGCAGAAATCCCGAACACATTGTTGATCAGCAGCGTGGACTTCCTGGAGGGAAAGAAGAGGTTTGGTGAGGATGCCCCACGGTGAGGCCTGTCAGTGTTCTGTGGTCCCAGAAGCAGGGACAGCCCTTCCAGAAGGGTCTGCGGAGGGGCGCTCAGGCAACATGGGAGAATAGGAGCCTGGGTCCAGCCCCTGATGGCCACCGCTGGCTGTGTGTGGCTCAGCCAACCATTTTTCACGCACCATTTTCACAGTTCTTACAGTTGGCCACAGGTAACTGGAACTGAAGCAGGCAAAACCACAGATAAAGGAGACTCTCGAATACAGCTGAGAATGAGTCCTGCCATTTGCTTGTTTACCCTCTCAACTTTTCCTCTTTCTCTGCCCTGGTCCATTTCAAAGAGAACTGCACTCCCGGGCTCCCTTTTATTCTGGTTTACTGGTAGGACTCACTGACCCGAGGCCTCGGGAGGAGCAGGGTTCTCTCCTCTGCTGCTTGCGTTACAGCAGCCCTGTCCCCCCTGCCCTGGACCACACGGGCCTAGCCTCCGATCCTGTGATGCTACTTCCTGCCTTTGGCTTTCCATACCAAGAACTTGATTGTAAAGGGGAAAAAAGTATTTCTTACAAACAAGCGAAGTATCATCCATCTGCTAGTCCCTATGCTACAATTTGAGGTCACACAGAGAACAAAAAAAAACAACCAAAAATACACCCCCCCCAAAAAAAACCCCCAAAACTCTGTTGGTGTGGACTCAGAAGGCAGGAAAGAGCTCAACATTCTCGGAAGTTGGGCAAAACAACGGCCCTTGGTTCTGTAGACTTAAGAAATAAAGGGCTTGATTAGAAAGCAGAGCTCAACACTTCTTCCCAGATACCTTCACTGCCTATGACAGTGAAACTGGGTTTTTGTTATTGTTGTTGTGGGGCTTGAACTCAGGGCCTGGGCACTGTCCCTGAGCTTTTGTGCTCAAGGCTAGTGATCTACCACTTTGAGCCACAGCTCCATTTCCAGTTTTCTGGTGGTTAATTTGAGATAAGAGTCTCACAGACTTTCCTGCTTGGGCTGGCTTTGAACCACGATCCTCAGATCTCAGCCTCCTGAGTGGCTTGGATTACAGGCATGAGCCACCAGCCTAAACTGGACATTTGACACTAGATCATATGAACAAGAATTGTAGAAATGACTCTGGCCTCTTCGAGTATCTCTGAAGCCCAGCTGCTCCTCAGATTTATCAGTAGCGTGAGTGAACACAGCCATGGGTCACTTGGTAACAGCAATCCATTCTCAGGAATGTGTCACTAGGCAATTTTCATTATCACCATGTGAGCGTCACAGAGCATGCCGAATGTAAGCAAAGTGGCACGGTCATCTGGTGACACAATCTTTGGGATCACTGGGGAGACACCGTAGACAGAAACACCTGCAAGGAGACCCTCAGATCTACCACCAGAGGCCAGATCCCATGGGAGACCTCCAGAGTAGTCACAAAAGCCAGGGAGGTGCTACTAGTGATCTCACCTCATCTTTAATGGCAATGTCTACATCAATGGCAATGTCTACATCAGAGCCCTGCCTGTGTGGCTGGGCTCTTCCAGCCTGTGTCTAAGAGGGATAGACTCCACCTGCCTGGATCCCGCCTGCTTCCCCACGTTGCCACCCCCACCTGCTACTGTCTGTCCATAATCACACGCAAACAGCTCTAAATATTGCCTCTGCAGGGCCTCTCCCACATGGCGGCTACTTCTTGCTCTGTTCTCTTTACAGTGCAGCCCCTTTGGGAGCTGCCTGCTCATCTCTGTTCTCCCCCCTCCCCTCGGACAGCAGCTCATCCCAGCCTTGGAGATCCGTGTCTACGTTGACGGATCTCGCTGTCCCTTGGCCTTCTGTTGGGGCAGCCTCTCCGCAGGCTCAGACAGAGCTGACTGGGGCCCCTTTGTGGAGACACAGCCTCTTCTGGAATCTGGGCCCTCCCTCCCCAGTTCTCTCCCCTCTCAGTGTCTCAGCTCAAACTCCTCTCTCTGCCCTTTGACCTTAGTCTCTGCGCTCTGGCTCTTCTCTTCTCTGTTCCCATCTCCCTCTGTACTCTGTCCCTAGACCAAGAAGACATCCAGTCCCTTAAGACTTACAAGTGACCATACTTCTGACCTCTGTCTCTGGCCCAGACTCAGATCTCATGTCCACCCTGGCGTAATTAATTGTCTGCTAGGCCTTCTACCAGGGGTGCACTGGCACATTCAAAACTGAACTCTTGGATCATTGCTGAACCCCTCTCTCCACCCCACCCCCATATTCCAACCCCTCCTTCCTCACTTTCCCCTTGGCTTCCTATTGGCTTAGGCCAATAATCTGGGAATAATATTCCAATCTATTTTTCTTCACCACCGGTATGTAATCTGTTATAATAGAGTCCCACCTCCACCACTTCCAAGGTGTAGCCCAAATCAAGCCACGCCCCCATCTCCAGCCCCACAGGATGATGGGATGCCAGCCACCATCCACTCACACCGCAGCCTGCCTCACACTCTGCCTCCGCGTGGGCTCTGGTGCACTCACATCTGAAGATCCGGAAGTGACCCTTTCACAGCCTTTATTGGGGTGCGTCGCCCTGGCAGACCTTCGAATGGCCCCTCACTGCATGCGAATAAACCCTGCATGGAGGCTCTTCACACGTGCGTGGGAGCCATCACTTTTGCTAGGCCATTCCACCATGTGAAATTCTCGCCCTTATTCACAGCGCACGGCACTCATGAAGCTCCGGAAGGGAGCTCTCTGCGGAACCCAGGCGGTCCCCAGCTCCAGGCCCTCACCCTTGCTGCCCCTCTACGGCTGTCCCTTCCTGCTCCTGGCACGACTGGTCTCACGAGCCTCAGCTCAGGTGTCCCCTCCTGACGTTCTACCTGCCACGACAGCTCCCAGCTCGTAGCCCAGGCATCCTAAGAAATTACCCTCTATACTTTTTGTTTTCATGCTTGCTGTCTCCTTCCTCCCACTCATGTAAGCTGGGTTTTTTTGGTCTTGTCACCACGGCCTTTAGCAAGTAACTCAGTTTCAGGCACGTGTACAGCCCTACATGTACTCGTGGCATAGACAAGAGAGTAATTCCCAGGAGCCAGGCCACGTGTTAGCCAGGCAGCCTGGCCCTGTCTGCCTTGGGTCCCTTTTCAGCTTCTAGATCTATGGGTAGGATACAGAGAGGCCTCCACAGAGAGGACTTGAGCGACTCTGCCATACACAAATGGAGTGACGCTGGGCAGGTTTCTTAGCCTTGTTTACTCGCAAAATGGGTAACAACGCTGGTTCTGCGATTTATGTAAAATTCTGAGGATGGCATCTGGAACTTGTTTGAAGCCTCAAGAAATGGAAAAATCCATGAAAATTAATGGTGACAGCTAGCAAACATGGAATGTACAAATCTTTGTGTACAGTTACCCTATGAGATTGAATCATGAGATGGCTGGCATCTCATTTCACACATGGAAAAATAAATCTAGCCAGGTGCTACTAGCCCATACCTATAATCCTATCTATCTGCTATGAGATCAAAGAGTCATAGTTCGAAGCCAGCTTGAACAGAAAAGCCCTGGAAACTCTATTTCCAATTAATCAGCAAAGAGTCAGGCTGGACGCACGGTTCAAATGGTAGAGCACCAGCCAGGGAAGCACAAAGCCCAGAGTACAGTAACCAAGGCCCTCCCCCCCCCCAAAGAAATCTGAAAGTATCTGAAGTCAGGGCTACACACTAGTAAATAAATGACCTGGCTTTCTAGTAACAGTGATGCTAAGCAACCTATATAGGTAGCTATCTGGTCACTAATAGTCTTTCATTTTTTCCACATACATTCATTCACTCACATTTATTCATTCAACACAGTTGAGAGTGGACTGGGTGCTGAACATCATTCCAGGCTCTGGCACACAGCAAGGATGACCACAAAGCCTGTAATCCTATGTTTTCCCCAATCAACACATATTTTTGTTTATGTTTTCTTTTTGGCTGGTTCTGGGGCTTTGAACTCAAGGTCTGGGTGCTGAGCTTCTTTTGCTCAAGGATATAATTCTATCACTTGAGCGACAGCACTATTTCCAGCTTTTTCTAAGTCGTTTATTGGAGATAAGAGTCTCACAGACTTTACTGCCCAAACTGGCTTCAAACCTCGATCCTCACATCTCAGCCTCCTGAGTAGATAGGATTATAGTCATGAGCCACTAGTGCCCAACTCAACAAGTTGTTGTTGTTGTCTTTAAATATAGCATGCCAGTAGTGATAGGTATTGTAAAGACAAAGCAGAGAAGGGGCAGGACTTTGTGAGAGAGGCCAGGATGACTTCCGTGAGGGGGTGACACGGGAGCACAGACATAAGAAAGAGAGCAACTGAGCCAGTCAGGCATCAAAGACCAGAGGTACCAGGAGCCAGGCTCGGTCTAGTTCAGAAACATCCCTAGGCGGTTACAGCTGGAGACAGATGGCTGAAGGGGAGCCAAGGAGAGGGTGGCCAGGGGTTCCTAACGGCTCCTCCACCCCCAGGAGGACTGGGTTTCCCTCTGGGTGAAGCGGGCAGCCACGGGAAGATGCCAAGGAAAGAAATGGCACGGGCTGCCTTGTAATTTAACCAGTTGTCTGAGTTGCTCACGGCTGGAAGCGGTTGGCGTGGTCACAGGTTAGACCATTTGGGGAATTATGATAAGAGTTTAAGCAAGAGCTGGTGGCTTGGATCAGGTTGGTGGCCGCAGCGCTCCTGAGGTGTGATGAGATCCTGTTTTCTCGGAGGCCGGAATGATTGCAGTTTGTGGTGGTTAGACAGAGATAGAGAGATCAGGAAGCAAAGGGTGTTCCCTGGCCTGAACCTTTGCCTTGGATAGGCTGATGCCTTTTGTGCTAATCAGGAAATGCTCAACTCGCAGCCATGTCCGGCTTGCACCCTCTGTGCGAGCTCATCACAGTAATATATTCATTCCCGAAATAACCCCGAGCCAGACAGCATCCTAGTGGAGAATGGAAACCTTATTTGCAAATAAGTCACAAACCTGACTCACTGAGGTTCAGAGATGAGGATTGCAATATTGTGTTTCCATTCCCCTGCCCCCACCCCAAGGTAAGCAAAAACACAAAAACAAACAAAAACCAACCAACAAAAAAATCCTGGCAATTAATTCCATAGGGAAGAACTCCAGGGACTTGGGAACTTCACCCAGGACCCTGATTCATTGTTCTGAGCGTCTCCCTTAGTGTAGACTCTTTCCTCCTCCCCCTTCCCGGATCATCAGCCCCTAGATAGAAAGGGCAGGTGATAAGGTAGAGAGAGAATGCCATCAGGCTCTTCAGAGAGGCTTGAGGAAAACTTTGTCTCACAAAGGGAAGGACAGAGAAGGTCTGAGAGCCGCACTCTTCCAGCATCCTTCCTAGAACCAGGGTCAATTTGTGAAGGACACAGAGGTAGCTAGTTCTGGTTGAATTGGGGAAGCGTTTTTCATCAGACCCTCGTGAAATGGGGAGCTCTGGAAATACCAGCTGCCCCCATAAGCATCTGGAACTGCTCAGTAATTCTTTAGCCACACTAGACCTGTGGTTGCACCTTATGCCCATATCTTTCCCCCTGTTTGTGTCCATCCATCTCTGCTGCTCCAGCTCCATTCCACTGCTCTTTATCCCGTGAGTTTGGTAGAACCCTACCTGGTTCTACATCATTCTACCATGCGTGCGTGCACCTGTGAAGCTCAGCGTGGCTGGAGGAAACACAACCACAGTAACAGTTTGTCTAAAATATAGGGCCACCAACCCCACAGCGCTTTAAGGCTCCTAGCATTGGTCTTACAATTTGCTGGTCCATTCAGCACCCTGACCTCCAAGGGGAATTTTTCTCTCTCTCCCTCATTTTCAGTGGATGATCTTGTTTTCAGTCCATTAAAGACACAGAAGTGATCCCCAAACTCTCAACTTACTGCCCTACCTGCAGTGTATCCATATGCCTGCCCCGTTCATGTCCCCAGACTGTCCTGACTCTTTGCTGGCCCCAGGCCCTGAAGCTTTCTGATGCTTCCCCATTCCTGTTCAGATTTCTCCAGCAACTGTCTTGCTATTACTTAGTCCCTCTCTACTCAAACATCTTATTAACATGTTTTTAAGGCTCCCACCTTAAAAGAAAACACTTCTTGAACACTGCTGTCTGTTTCCCTTTTCACATTTCACAATGTCTCCAGCCCTTCTCCTCTCTTGATATCCACGGAGGGATTACTGCCCTTGAAACAACCCAGTGACCAGTGGCCTCCTGGTTGCTAGATGCACAGAGCAGATCTCAGTCCTTGCCTTCGATGCTCAGAAGCACTGGGCAATGTTGATGTCCTTCCCCTTTCATTCATTCCTAGATCTCGTTCAGCGCTGGCCTGTCCATACCTTCATGACTGATCTTTACTTTGGTCCCTTCCTCTGAGCACTGAGGGATGCGAGTTCAGATGAATTTGATGCTGGGATCTGTTGAGCACTATTTTGTGTGGATATCACGGGGATACTAAAGATGCTGGACAGGAGTGACAGGCTCTATTTATGAAACTCCTGCTGGTGACATTCTCTCTCCATTCATCTCCTCCAGCGCTTGGAACATTCCCTGGAGAAAATGGAGATCATTGCTACCGATCTCCAATTTTAGAGGGTTGGAAATTGAGGTCTAGATAAATAAAATGACCTGTCCATAGTCACTCCACTAGTGGAAGAATCGTGACTCTGCTCGGACAGAAAATTCACGGACTCCAGTCACACAAGCCTTTGTGGCTTCCAGGAAACTGTTGTTCATAGCAAGGATACAGAGAAGACAGAGAGGAAATTTATGACTGGTCTAGTCTGCCGCAAGAGAAAGCTGCATGTCACAAAGAAAGGCCGGAGGAAGGAGGCTTAGGAAGTAGAGTGGATCTGACTGGAGAGGGCCTGGGTAGGAAATCTCAGCGTGGAGTTTTGATACTCGCTGCATCTTTATGTGTGAGGTAAACTCTGAAATCGCCTAAATATCTCTCCGTCAGGGAGTAGGCAAGCAAATGATGAGATAGTCATAAAGCAGAAGATAATCTGAACAGACGATTTTCCTCAAAGGCAGATCAACACAAGCATACGTGGGACAGCCAGTCTCCCAGCTCTGTGCTGGTTCTGCGTTCTCCTCTCTCCCGCCCTCCTCCGCACTCTTGCCGCTGGCTCTCCTGGATGGCTCCCTAGTTTTCTGGCTTCCACTTGGGTTTGACAAGGGGAGGATCCTACAGAAGTATGGAGGATGGAGAAGAAGAGGGGTTCTTCACCGTACCCCTCATTTGGGTTTCATGGTTCTAGTACAGACCATCCCCTTCGCAGCTCCAGCTCTCTCTCCTTAGCCCTTCATCCTTCACCTCTGTTCACTTCCGGCGCTGACACCCTAGCTCCTCCCCTTCCTCTTAGGGCGTTAAAATCCCTCCACATAGGCTGAATGGAATTGTGCTGCCTGCCGGGACCTTGATGATGATGTAGCTACAGTGTGTTCCTTACAGAGGGTGCAGCTTACTGACCTCCCGAGAGCTTTCCCAAGCATCTTCACGATGACAGTCCCCACCAGTCCACCGATGGCGAATATGGACACGGTCACAGACCAGAGCAGAGTCAGAGTGTCCGGGTCTATGGGATGTCCGTACCGCCTTTCCCACACTTCACTGTAAAAGGCCTTGATATACTGAAAACAAACAACAAAACGTGTTATTTCCTTCTGTCCCTCCTGCTGCTGCTTGAAGAGTTTTGTTTTTAATAGATCACTCTCTTCATGTTCTTCTCTTGGCTGATTCCAGGTGGGCTTATCTCACTAAGCTCTTCTAACAGATTATGGGATCAGTTCCTAGTTTTACCTCATTCTGCATCTGGGAAATGGATCCTCAGTAACTTGTTGAGGATCCTCAGAGTCAGAGGGACTTGTTAGGTGCGAACACTGGGAATCGAACTCAGAGCTGACCGCAAGATGATGACAATTCCGATACTTAAGATTCTTTAACTTAGAAGTAACACCCTAGAAATGTGGCAAAACTTCACATGCCTCAAGGAAAAAATACTTTGGAACAAAAAATCCCAGAACACTAAAACAATTACTGTAAAAGAAAAAAAATGCTTATTTGGATTTTTATATAAGAAACGAATCTCCTATTGCTTAAAGCATCACGAAATGAAGACAAGCCAGAGGCTAAATTATATTTGCAGTACAATCAACTGTGGAAAAAAATCTGTCAACAATATTTAAAGAACTGAAATATGTCAATAAGAAGAGAAATAATGTAATTATAAATGAGCAAGAGACTTGAATAGATCTTAAATGAAACACAAATGACCAGTAAGGCGGCAGGGTGTTTACCATCAGTGGTCTACTGGGAAATGCAAATGAAAACTAGCTAGACACAGAGAGAAACCAAACATAGACCCACATCTCAAAGACATTTCAGACCACCATAGCTGATAATGCACTAACCCACTTTAAGGATGCTTGGATACCAACTCAGAATAGCTCAGCAACAAGGATACCTAAACCAGGCAAATTCACTGGGGCGACAAATTTCAAGGACTATTGATCTGTTGGCTCACAACTAATCAATCAACACAGTCAGAATAGAGATGCTTCTACAGCATATTTTACTCTGCTTCCATAGCTTGATTTCCTCCTATAACTTCATCCACTCACGAGCACAGAATGTTCCTGGGGTAATTGGGCTTTCCCATTCACAGTGTCTGGGGAGATAGTAATTGATGGTGTTAAAAAGACTTTTCTTAGAAGCCTCTAGCAAGCCACAAGTCTTTCGGTCCTGGCTTGGGCAGATTCCTTTGCATGCCATGCTATTTGGAGCTTGGGGATCTGTCCTTGAGTCTTTGCAGGTGCTCAGTCAGAAGGTATGAATGTATCTTTAACTCTTGCCTTTGGTAAAGGTTCCTCAACCAAGCCACCATCTTTGTCCATTGTGATCTGGATCGTGTCCCCCTTCATTTGTATCTTAAAACCCTTCACCACCTTAGCAAGTAATGTGACCTAACTAGAGTCTTCACAGAACTAAGCAAGTTCAAATGAGGTCACTAGGGTGGCTCATAACTCAGCATGACTGGTGTCCCTTTAGAAAGGGGAAGTTTGAACTCAGGCAGGCAAGGGAGGAAAGACAAAGTCAAGAGCACAGGGAAAAGATGGCCATCATCAAGAGTAGAATGGACTAGACCTTCCCCTCACAGCGCTCAGAAGGAGCCAACCCTGCCCACACTTTGATCTTGGACTTCCAGCTTCTATTACTGTAAGACTGTCTTAAAAATAGTGGTGGTAGGAGGGGGGGTTAATTTAATTAGCATCTATTGAGTTAAGAGACACAAATCAAGCATTAAGGAAAAGCTACTCCAAACAAGTACATCCTCAAAACTCCTATTTCCAAGCTCTCAGGCCAACTTGTGGGGAGGGCTGGCCACAGTGAGCGGGTAATTTACCAAGCTTGTTTCCACTGTGTAAGCCACTTACTGGATGGCACTGCTGGGCGGCCCTCCCAAGCTGAATCACTGCCCCACGGCCAAAAGACCTCACGGCTTCCACCCCTCAGCCAAGTCTGAACACCTAACCCTCTCATGGAAGCTACCATAGCTCTGACGTTTGGGCCCTCACCAACGCGCTCAAGCAGTCTCAAATGGGTCCCACACTCCCTGGCTGTGGCCACTGACAACCACCGAGTTGAAGGGAAGGCTTTGCGTGTGCCGGGGGGCATTTGTCACCCTTTTGCGGGTACTCAGATTCAGATGCCCTCTATCTATGTGGGAAACAAGGACTACTGATCATCACGGAGGCTGTAAATGCCAGATGTCTATTCTCCAAGCATCCCTTGCAGCTAGGGAGTGATCATGTGACCCAGCCTCAGCCAATCAGATGCCTGGACTTTGCATAAGGTGCTGGTGGGACCAAATCAAGGGCCTGTGGTGGTGGTGGTGGTGGTCTTTGATGCAGAGAAAGCAGTAGCAGCCCTGAGGGAAACGGCAGGGTTCTGTGCCATCTGAGTATTTCACAACAGTGGTGGCTGCAAGAGGCCCCTCAGACCGGCTTGGGTGTGGTCTTCTCATTCAAGCTGTGAGCAACTCACTATTTTTTTAAACAACTTTTTAGCTTCACTCCGATGAAACTGTTCATCTTCCCTACAACTATGGAAAGTTTACCAAGACACCTGAATGACTGCATCTCAGCTCTGAACAACCCTAGAGGTGGAAGCCTTTGCTTACACACTAGGGGACCAAGAGTGACACACTTGTCTTGGTCACCTGGCTCGTGTGCAGTAGGTAGAGGGGCTTGTGCGCTGGAGCTGCTGACTTCACAGCCCCCACATATTCGCTCCACTCTGCAGACTCTTCCGCGCACCTCAGAGGAGGGAAAATCGAGCAGCTAAGCCCAGAGGTCACTGATATAGAAATGAACCTCCGTCAGTCAGTGGACCCCATGAAGTTCAACGAGCATGAAGTCTACCAGGAGAGACGGCGACAGCCACTAAGAAGGGATCAGAGGTTCACAGGAAGGTAGGGGGTGCAGGACACCCCAAGGGCTACAGCAAGGGGTCAAGGCCCTTCGGAAAAGTGTGTGTAAGTAATGAATGCCTAGAAATTCTCAGGCACTCACTCTGTCTACACTGTCCTCAGAAAGACAGCATCGCCCCACACATAGACAGTCCTTGTTGAGTCTAACTGTGATCCTGTGCTGATTCAAGCAATTGCAGCTCCTTGAAGAGCCTCCTCCGACCCAGCTGCATCGCCTCCTGCTCCCGTACTCGTGGCAGTGTCGGGTGTCACGGAGGTCACTACAAGATGCTGACTGCATCACTTTGCATGGTGTCCCGGCGTTCATGGAAGGACGTCATGTAGTTAAGCATCTGTTTAGTTAAGACGCTGACTGTGTTGCACTGCCCCGTGCCTGTGGAAGGACACTCAGGACACTGACTGCATCGCCCTGCATCCAGGAGCCCCTGGGGAGAAGCTGGCTTACTCATTCACCATCTTGCCGTGCTTTGAGGACTTTGCTGTGCTCATCCCAAGGGTTGCCTGGCAGGTTCACAGAGATGTTTCACCCCATCTTCAAGATGTAAGTTCTGGCCCCCTGCCTTCAAGGAGCTCAAGGTCCAACGGAGACCAGCTGAGTAAGTACCCCATGATGACAAGTGGACACCACAATGGCAGGAAGCCCAGCGGGTGATGGCCAATTTCTCGGACCAGGTGGGCTGCAAGGTGGGCTGGGCTCAGGTGGACAATGTAGACAGAGGGGACTGAATGCTCAAGGTTCAGAAGCTGGTGACCGCATGTGGACATCGAATTCCTGAAAATGGCTTCACGGAGCTGGAGGGTATCAAGCATCAGGAGGAAGGCTGGAGAGCAGGGCAGGGGCTGCTTATACCTGGGTTTGCCCGTGGTCTTTGGAGCTCATGGCCCCTGAGGAGTCACTGGCTGGCTGGGCATGGAGCAGTAGCTCTGATGTGTGGTTCAAGATATTCATTGTATGTGTAGCATGAAGACCCCTTCACAGCTACTAAGCGAAGCCAGTGAGGAGGCTCCTGCATTTGGTATGAGACAATGAGTAAGATAGATGATTTGTGTGTATGTGTGTCAGTCCTGGAGCTCGAACTCAGGGCCTGGGCACTGTGTCTGAGCTCTTTAGTTCAAGGCTAATGTTCTACCACTTGAGCCACAGCTCTACTTCTGACATATCTAGGTAGTTCATTGGAGATAAGAGTCTCACTGGACTTTCCTGCCCAGGCTGGCTTTGAACCTTGATCCTCAGATTTCAACCTGCTGCTCAGATTTCAGCCTCTTGCGTAGCTAGGATTACAGGCATGAGCCACAGCACATGGCTGAGTTTTTTTTTATTAAAAAATCTATCCAGGAGTATTTATAGTATGACTTGTACTAACTAGAGGCTAAACTACAAAGATATGAGTAAGAGTCTACATAGTTAAAGGAAACCAAAGCGTTGACAGTCCTGGGTTCAAGACTTGCTAGCGCCATGGAATTCTGTGACCTTGGCCATGGGACTTTGGCCTACTCCAGCAAGGTGCTCTGGCCCTCTGGGAGTATCTGCCATTCAGGACCCTGAGCATCTATTTTGTTCCATTCTCACCCCTGCCGTCCACTCTCTGCTGGGTGATTGTACAAGTCGCTGAATGTTTTGAGGCCTTGGTTCCCTCAACTGTGAATCGCTGCCTTCTTAAAAGTATCATTGGGAAGATTTGTGCGAGAAGAATATGAAGACAGCTCTGGCTCCATGGACACACACACCAGAAAACAGAAGTTGGTGTGGTTGGTTGGTGGTGCTATGAATACCATTATTTCTTGATTTGTGAAAGAAGGCGTCTAGACATGTTTATTTCTCAGGTTTAAGAGCCTATAAATAATTCACCATTATCTCCCAGCCTAAGAACTCAAGGGTTATTCTTCTGGCAATAAATTAAACTCTCAGAATCCCATCCTCCACATGGCATGGAAATTGCCAGACAGTGGGCGACCAATTACCTTGTAGCCTGCCTTGCCACGGGAAAGGCTTCCTCCTGCTTCCCGAAGAGCCCGCCATGCATTCATCTAAAGTCACGCTCAGTGTCATCTACACAGTGTGCAGAAGAGCCGGTGGCCATCCGGGGCACACGCGTGTCACAAGAGAGAACAAATCATACCACATAGAGAGCTAGCCTTGAG